AATGTCGTGAACCAGCTAATAACGGCATTCGCTCCTCTTGTGCAACAAAATCCTGTACTCAATGCGTTCTGGCCTTCTTTCATGTCGTCCATATATTGTGTAATGATGATGTTGTGTGCTGTAACACAACTTATACAAGTTGCCATTGTTCGCCTTCATTACGACTTCGACACAGACTTCTGGAGTAAAATCCTGCAGACAATCACCATCCTGACAGGTTCATTGGCTGTAATTTCCCTCCTTTCAATTAACAAACCATATATTGCCTCGTTCTGGTTTATTGTATGGCTCCTCTTTGCTGCACACCGTATTCACACCTTGATTCTGGACTTAAACCCACCAATGTTGCCCATTACCAGCCACAGCTACGTGGGATCCAATTCTAATTACGCCACTACAATTATTGGAAAAATGAAATTTTGGGCTACAAACTTGCTCCAGTGGTGTGCTGCAGTACTAATTCCTATGGTTCGTCCTAGGAGTATGCTTGATCGCCCCAATGGTGACATGGTCCAGCAGGTTGATGTTTTAAATTAGTTTCAAGTGTTTGGTTTTTTTTTCCCATGCAAAAAATGTTTAGCGTTGTATGTTATATGTATCATTTGGTAGGTGGAGTATTTCTCATATCTACACCACTCCATTTACATTTGGCTATCAAGAAAAGAAAAATGGATTTAAGCAGGTGTGTAATAATAATAATCGTCTAATTGATTATTAATTTGATTGCTCTAGGTGTCACAGAAACAGATAGGATTTGCACATTTATGTTTTGGAGCTTAAAGATCTTAACACAATGGCTCTGAATATGATAATGGGGAATACCACAAAATGCAGCTTGCACGGAAGGTTCCCCTGATAGTGCATAGGACATAGACGAGGCAAACCATTACACTTCACATTAAAATTCTTAACAAAATGATTTATATCTTGGTTTTGGATCTTTCTCTGGATTTATATTGCTACTTGAGTCTTGTGCTCCATGTATTTCCACCAAAAATGTACATCTAGCTTACAATTCTGTTAAATTGGTGGATTTTTTGTTAGTATTTTTCTTTTATATCTGCACGTATGAAGGATGTTCTCTGCTAGCATTTATCCATTTAGATTTTTTTGTCTGTCATTTACTACATAAATTTGAATGATATAACATTGAAATTCTTGGCAAATTCAGTCCCAGGTTCACCCGAGAGGTGACTTCTCGACTGCTAGCTATATCCCAATACAAATTTCATAAGTAGAGGGTGATTCAATAATAAGTTTATATGTTTGAATTTTTGAAACCACTCAGAATGGTCTGCCAGAAGAGAACCATCCAAAAGAGGCGGTCGAATGTCAGATTAGTATTTGGGGTTGTTTAAGTGGAAAGAACCACCAGCTAAGCACATAAACTTGCCTTCAAATTGCTTCCTAATGCAATTTCATTGATTTGCAGGGTTGAGTATCTTGTACCAGATCAATCTGATAAGCTATTTGAGCTTGGATTGTTAAAGCAGATCTATAATGTGGTTAAAGCATGCTCTAATCCTTCAATGATACACACATTGTTTAGTGCTACTTTACCTGATTTCATTGAGGACCTCGCACGCACAATAATGCATGATGTTCGTGTTGTTGTTGGCAGGAAGTAAGTATGAGATGCTTTCTTTCCATAAATGAGAGAAATTCCCTCCAATATTTATCATTTATTAACATTTTGTAGGAATACTGCTTCAGAATCAATCAAGCAAAAGTTGGTTTTTGCTGGAAGTGAAGAAGGGAAATTACTAGCACTTTGTCAAAGCTTCTCAGAGGTATACTGTTGTTATGGTCCTTGTTTATCTTGCAATAAATAGTTTTTTTAATTATTATTTGAAGATGGAAAACATGCTTACATAACAATAACCGGCCACAGCCAGGCCTTGAATAACATTGAACATGAGCTCTTATAG